GGTTCATCACACATTTGCCTTCTTTGGGTTACAATTTGAAAAATTTGTACACAACTTCTTGCTGTCGTCCGTCCGTCTGTCTGTCATTCCGTAATCTCGAGAACGAAGTTAGATAGATAAAATCGAGACTACTTTTGGAAACTCTTAGGGCAAAGTTCACCGATTAACTGTATAGGGTCCTCTGATTTATACCGAACGTCAAGTACTTTTAATTCAAACATTTTCCTAAACGTAGTTACATAGAAGATCAGCATGACTCTGATGTTATCAGGAAAAGTATAATTTGCAGGAGCAAGACACTACTAATTTCAGATCGGGAACATAAGTCTATATTTTAAATTAAATAAATTAAAAATTGCCCGGCAGGTGACAATAAATAATCATCACTCGTTATATATTTAATTCGGTACAGAATCATGACACAGCAAACAGTTCTTTTTATACAGAGTCTTATAATTACTATAGCCTACTATTAAAAATATCAATTTAATTTATTGAGTAGGGAGCCCAGTCTTACTCTCAGTAATGAGGAAGTGCTGTATTTAAGGGTAACAAAAGGCTTACGTCAGCACAAATTGCCTAACATTCAATGGGCTTGCGTGTTAAGACATGGATTGTGTCTGGTGAACATCTGGAAACATCGAAAGTGATTTACACGAAACCATGAGACTTGCATGAAAACACGAAGGAAGTGATAAAAACTTTATTGTTTATTTTACCTAAAAATAAACAATAAAGTTTTGGCAAGTTGAAAGGCAAGCGAGACAATATGTAGGACTGAGAGCGAAGTTGTTTGCACTGAATGAAGACAATAAAATTAAAAGAAAAATGTTAAAAGCCGCAAAGACAAGTGTTGTTAAAAATACAACCATTAACGATTATAGAAAGTGTTTGTTTAAAACAACAGAACAATGCAAAACACCTAATTTAACATACACGAAATTTGGACTTAGAAATGAATAAAAATAAACTTTGATGTAAAAATAAAAAGCAATACTTATTGAATAAAGGAACTGAAGATCTTACTTTGTTATTTCTTATAAATTAAATTAAAGAGAAATTTTGAGAGAAGGAAGCAAAGTTGAAAATTTAATGAAACTCTAAAAATAAAGTCTGAAAAATTAATTTCAGTCCATTAAAAGTCATTAGAGAATCTGGAATTAATATCTAAATTTTAAAAAATTTATCAGAATCTTTTCAAAAGGTTTATTTGATAAGATGCAGATAAGACAACTGGTTCAAAAACTACCCTCAAAATGATTACTTAATTTTAAAAATAAACATTAAAAAGCTTTAAAGTTTATATAAATAATTTATTATAAAGGTAGCTTTATATTTAAATATTTTTTAGTGAGGAAGTATTGATATTAAGAACTACCAGAAAACAAGCGATAAATTTTAAAATGTGTTTAGGCTGGAATATTGTTGTTAGTACTGTATATAAAGAATTGATTAGAAATTTAATAATGAATCATATAAACGATTGGCGTAATCTCCGATGAAATGTTCTGCTAAATTAGTTGTAAGAGGTACAAAAACATGCTTTAATAACATCACTGTTAGCAGGAATATGCAATCAATACTTAAGTACAGCTTTAACACATAAAACTATTTAATTTAAAAAATATTCAACAGATGGCGCAACATGTCCGTTAGTAATCTCAACCGTGGGTGAGTCAGGTATAGTGCTACCCCTATGTAGTGGCAAATAAAAATGGGAAATTTTTTAAGTATTTTCCCACGCGTTTTTGTTTGAATCTGGCAACACTTAACACATTGAGTGGGGTTAAAAAATTTGAGTGAATAAAAGGTTCCATTCCGCCAATAATAATTCATGTTACACGAGTAAGAATTTTTTCATCAGCGCTTCGAATGTTCTTTCGCCATAGAAGACTGGACACACCTAAATTTTATTTATATTCTTTATAATTATTTAAATTTAATATATATAACACAACACAAGAGAAAGGAAACAATAGAAAGAACAGAAGAAATAAAGGAAAACAATAAATATATCAATAACAGAACGTGTAAAACAATTTGTGTGTGATTTGCCACCACAAAACTCGTTATCAATCGAATTAAATATTATAAATTAAGTTATAATATTATATAATGTTTATTTAATTACAATTAACAACTGAAATAGACATAAATTTAGCAGAAAAACTTATGGTGAATTATTTAGTGTTGGATTGAGTTAAGGTAGGAAAATTTAATTAGTGAAATTATACTGAATTTTTTACCATAAAACAACTTATAAGTGTGGGAATAAAATTACCTGATTATCGATTTGTACTACAGTCGACCCCCCTGTAACACTGTTAATTATTCCGTTTTATATAAATTCCATGTTGTACGAGTCACTTAGATTTTACAAATACGTGAGTCATTCACAGCCCAGCACACGTATTTGTAAAATCTAAGTGACTCGTACAACGTGGAATTCATATAAAACGGAATAATCAACAGTGTTATAGGGGAGTCGACTGTACTATACTTATTTATCAGATATTGTGTAAATACTAAAATAAACATAACTTACTATTTTGTAAATAAGTAAAATAACACAAATGGAAGTTCCACACTTAAATTTTTTTTGTTTTAAATTGTAACTTTAAACGTGAATTTACCGAACACTGTAAAAATTTCTTATTTTTCTTGTTTAATTTGTGTTTATTTCGAATGTTAATTGTAAATAAATAAACATTAAAAGCCTGTAATTTAATTTCCTGTATTTAATATAAACACAGGAAATTAAATTACATGGTTTAATGTTTAATATTTAATATTATTAATAATCGTCAATATATATAATAAAGGTAAGTGTACAATGTGCGTACCGCTAAAACTTAAAAACGAGTTCCGGTACGATCAAGGGAGTTATATTGTGTGGTAGCCCTCTATCTCCCAACCCTGAAGAAGGTTCCCGTTTTTACCTGAAGGGCGTACTGCTGAAGATATAAGGACTAGAAGGTTCGTTCTCTAGAAATTTCTAGAACAGTCCAGAACATACGAGAGTATTCCAGAGCATTTCACAACATTCCAGAATGTTCCGGGATGTTCTGGATCGTTCGGGAACATTCCGGAACATCCCAGATCATTGTGGAACATTCCAGAACATCCTCGAATGTTGTGGAATGTTCTGAAACATTGTGGACCATTCCAAGTTTTTTTTGTATGGGTGGGACTATTCATTGGTGGGTTATATAAAGCAAGATCCGTCGCGGATTGGTATGTCAGTTTCAACTAATCCATATATATATAGTCGAGACAAGTTGATAATAATAATAATAATAATAAGCGCAGAGCCCAAACGGTTAGGAGTTGAAAGTTGAAATTTGGTACACAGGGTACGTCACGAGAACACACACTAAGAAGGAATTTTTCGAAATTCCCTCCACGGGAGAGAGGGACAGGATTAAGGCTTCCCATGAACAACTCAACTTCTATTTTTCTATATTAGAAACGTTTTTTTTGCGTTTTTGATAACGTTTTAATAAGGTACGTCACGAGAATGTACAGTACACTAAGAAGGGATTTTTCGAAATTTCCCACGCGGAAAGAAATTGTTAACACTTGGGAAAGTGTTAATAATGGAAGTGGTTAAGTAACAATTGATGTGTTAAGAGGAAGCGACGTGCAAGTTTTACAGGAGCAGATGCGGTTTTTTGCGTTTTTGCGGGAAATCGAACACATTTTTAGACCTATGTAAAAATTCTCTAATTAGGCTGGAAATGGGAGATCTAATTCTTGCATTCTGTGAAAACGGGTAAGATTGGCTATAATGTAATTTTAATCTTAATCTTAAATGTTTTCGAATAGTCGAAAATGTTTTGGAATAGTCGAGAACCGTTATGTGTGAGTAGTGGAGATGGCTTTCGGAGACGTATGAGCACATGCTTCAGTTGATTTTTCATAAGTAAAAGTGTACGAATAACAGAAAAAAGTAGAAAGTGAAAAGTGAAGTGTAAAAATTAAAAATTAAAAAATAAGCAATGCCAAAGCGTAAGAAAGAATTTTTACGGTCTCGAATCATATCTCAAAGGCAAAAGATGGCGCGGAGACGGAAACACATCGAATCAGAGAAAGATTATGTAGAAGAAAAAAACAGTCTTTTATATATATATATATAACTATATTACATATAAACGTACGAACAAATAAAAACCCAGCGAAGCGGATACTTGCAGCTAGTGTATTATGATAACGAGTTCTATCGTCGAAAACAGTAGGAAAAAAACACATAAATTTCTTTATACATTCTGTTATTGATATATTTATTGTTTTCCTTTATTTCTTCTGTTCTTCCTATTGTTTTTTTTTTCTTTTTGTTTTATAGTGTGTTATATATATTAAATTAAAAATTCAGGAGTGTATATTAAGTCTTCCACTGCAACAAGAACGTTAAATGCGCCAGCTGATTAAAAATTTTTACTTACGTAACGTGAATTATTATTGGTGAAACTCGAACAGGAAATGTGAGAACACTTATTAGTAAATTTACTATTGTATAATTTTTTATCTTTAAAATGTTAATTAATTAAAATACTTTTTAATGAAAGGAAGATAACGAATTTAATTCAAAACTCCATTCGTAAATAAATTAAATTAGTCCTTTATTACACAAATATGTTGTAAATATTAATTTATAAACCGAAACGAAAATTAGATTCTGCAGAAAATGGAATGCGAATTTGCCTTACCGCATCTCTGATTATATAGGATATTTAGTTATTAATTAATGTAATTAATTAACAGTTTCTTCGAATTTTCCACTCGTGCTTCCATTTAGATTATAAAGAATATTATCCTTTCTGGTAGTTATTATGTATTTTATAACGTTCTCCTACCTACACAACCCGGAAGTTAAGCCAATCAGTCAGAAATAATCCCAATCAGAATCTAAAAGGATGCTGAAAAAAGACCTGATAAGACTTGCTTTCGGGTGATTTTAAAAATGCTTTCAATGCATCCATTCGAAGGACACCAGACGTGTATGTGATATCTACGTCGTACATCACGTAGTTAAGTAAGTAGCAGACAGTATAATTAATATATTCATAATAACATAATCATTTTAATATAGTTTACATCTAAATTCGTACCACTATGCCATCAACATCCTTTGCACCACTATTGGAGGTATTAATTCTCGTAAAACAGTGGTTCTCAACTGGGGGTACATGTACCCCTAGGGGTACGAGCATAAATCGAAGGGGTACATCTAACTTTCGTTATAAAATTTGCTGTAAATTGTTACCACTTCTTGTGTTATTATTTCATAAGTATATTATATATAGATAGCTGAAATGTATTTATTTATACCACTGGTCTAGTTAGTTAGTTAGAGTTTTTTTTATGGCACTCAGTTATAAGGGCTGTATACATCTAACACAGTAATTATAAAATTTACATACAAAAATGTAGGGGGTACTTGAGAAACAACTAATGGGCTAATAGGGTACATCAACAAAAAAGGTTGAGAACCACTATCGTAAGAGATTGGGGTCTTCGGAACAACACACCGGAAGTAGGGCAGTGTGCCTCTCAAGTGTGACTCGAAACTTTTGCACTTTCAAAACAAGATTAGGATTGTCGCTACGATACTTTAAAAGCCAATAGTAGTTCATGCTTCTCTGTGGTGGCACTACAAACGATTTTGGGGTAATTAAAATACAATCGAACTAAACTGTAATCATTCACATTACCTGTATGTATGTCTATCTGAGTGCATAACTTTTTAAGTCATTAAATACGCACATTAGCCCAAATTTTCATCTCCACAAACATGGTCAAGTTAACGTGCCTATAATAACTTGCCACGATAATCATTAACATATCATACATTTATCAATATCGTTATATAACTTGATTTATCGAGAATTTGTGAATAATCATAAATGCTAGTTAATCCTTGGTTAATTATATTCATTAGTTGAGTTCAATAATTTAATTTTGAACGTAATTTTATTCGTAAAATCAATATATTTTTAATTATTTTATAAGTTTTTCATAAATCTATTACTGTATATAATGCCAAAAAAGGATAAATGATAAATTAAGAATAATAATAGATAGATTTTACGTGTCAGATAAAGATAAGAACGTCTAAGATTACTACTTTATAATATTTTTTAATGGCAATAAATATTAAAAATTTCCTATTCCTTCTGGAATTTATCATTTGAATTAAATTTGATATTAAATCTGTCGTAAAAATCGAAAATGATCGATAAAAATAAAGAAATATATCGGTTTTAATGCTGTAAAACTTCACTTAATAAAATTAATTATATAAAAAAATATATTAATAATAATAAAATTGTTCACTTATCTAATAATCAACGACAGTAATAAAAATTAAATTTTTAAATCCACATTTTTTTCCTTGATAATTGCTGTAATTGACGCTGTTACAATCAACAGATGTCACACGAGATGTCAACTGCATCCTGCGCCTGTAAAGCAAGCTTTCTGGAGAATGGACGAGTTTCGAGGAAAAGCGCGCATTCAGGAGCACGTCGTTCCCATTTCTAACACCTTCGTAGCCGCGTATTTAATTACAATAGGTAAGTTAATTGTTAAATAAATAGAAAATAATTAAATGCCATGTTATATTTTAAATTACTATATGAATTTTTAAGTATATATTATCTTAGAGATACAATCGATAAAAATAAACAAATGTATCCAATATATCCTTTTTAATTAGTTTTATAAATAAAACTATATAAATACGAATTTAATTTATATTATATGTCTATATTTATATATAGAGATATTTTTTAAAAGATTTTTTAACATTAAAATGTCGAATATAATCCTATTTATCGAACTGGATGACATATATAATTAACGTTAAATATAATAAAATATTTCTTAAAATTTTTTTATGTTATTTATCTTTTACACGTTCTCTTATTTAACAATTTTACAAAGTTTAAAGTTGAAAATTGAATTAAATTGAGAATAAAATCAATTTCGCTCTTTATATATTTATATATCCGCATATAATCTAGTTGTGTTTAATATTTTCAGTTGGAGTTGCTCTTATCTCAAATGTTATTCTTCTGATGGTATTGAAAAGGAAAAGAAAATTACGCTCTTTTCATTGGTGTGCAGCTGCCCTTTCCATCTCTGATGTACTCTTCAACATTCTTCTTCATCCTATGTCCATTGCTACTTCTCTTGGTTTCGATCCCTCTATAATCTTCAATTATTACGGTATTTTAAAATTTAAGAATTATTTTTTTAAATAAATATAAACTTAATTAAAATTATCTATTTTATTTTTAGTTAATTTACTCGATTTTCCCAATTTCCACGTTATAACAGTTTCAACCAATCAGCGTTAAGACAGTCATATCTGTAACCAATCATATTCAAAAATATTTCGAAATCTTAGAAAAATGTATCTTTATAAATTGAATATCTTCATAAATGACTTAATTTTTAATTTTTACGTCTACTTTCATCCATTTTTATTCTGTTTAATATTCGTTAATAGGATATTGATTTGTGTAATTGCTAAGGATTACACATTCTTACTATCGGAATTAAGAGCGAATCACTTAAATAAAATTCCATTTACATTTAAAATGTATTTATCTTCCGAAAAAAGGATTGCAACATTTGAAGATAGTAAAATTTAAAGTCAACTTTTTACTTTTTATAAAAGGATTTTAAATTAATTTATTTTATCATTTATATTTCACATCTTAATACTTTTCATCATTGATTCTTAATGTCGAGTGAATTGCAAAATTTTTTTTTATTGAAAACTTTATCAATTAAATTACTTTTTCTTGTAGTTTTTATAATGTGTTTACGTATAAATTAATAAAATATTTTATTAATTTTTAAAAGTTTTATTAGTAGATAAAACATTTCTCTTTGTGTTTGAGCTTTAGATTAACATAAAAAATTTAGATCAAAGACTAGAATAACTTAATTTATTTAATTTCTAGTGTATTTTTTAATATTTTAAATCACTAAATTAATATCAAGGTTATTTTCATTGCGAAAATCTATTTCTTTAAGTAATTGTTCTAGAGGTATTGATGTGTATTTCACTGCGTGGGCTGTGGTATGTTGAAATTTTAATCTTCTTCTGCAGGCAAAATCTATATTTAGAATTATTTCCCTATATTTTATCTATACACTTGTACAGTAATGTATACTACACATATCTTAAAGCATACTAAAATGACAGTATACACAAAGAGAGTTTTTATTCACAGACAATTACGAGTATAAATTTCAAAATACAGCTCTAGTTCCTCACTGTTCTGGTGCTTCAATGTTAGTTATTGTTAAATTACACCTGTAAAAAGAACGTTATTATTATTAAATCACAGAAGAATTCAAATTTATTTCATTTTTTAGGATGCATATATTTTGGCTTCGTAGCTTTAACGTTAGGATGCTACAACATGGCTATACACGCTTTACTGGCAATTATCCGTTACGTCAATATATGCCACCCCGAAAAAGGTAAACATACCGTGTTAATTTACGCGAAAATTATAACAAACCTTCCTATTGTTTTCATTTCGTTTCAGTTTACTGGTTTAGAAAGAGGACAATGCTTTATATATTAATAACCGCTGCTGTATACTCCCTTTTATGGTCATCTGGACCATTTTTTGGTGTGGGAAAGTACGAAACGTTCGAAGTTGGCTGCACAATTGCATTCGATGATAACTCAATACCGGGTAGAATATTCATCACTTGTGCTTTTATTTTTGTATTTTTTCTACCCTTAAGTAAGTAAACATCCACTAAATTTTTACACCTTATTACGTAGATTTAATTAATATATATATATTTTTTAATTTAGTAGTTATAATTACTTCTTATGGAAAAATAACAATTCAAGTGAAACGTCTGAGGAAAAAATTACTTTGTGTTGGCAATCTATCGATTGGAAAATATAGGAAAACTCAAGTACCTCTGAAAGTGACTTCTCCTCAACTTAAGATGATAAAAGTAAGATTTTTATCTAAGAAAAATAACATCTTTATCAGCACTTTAAATTAAACATACCAGTCGACCCCCCTATAACACTGTTGATCATTCCGTTTTATATGAATTCCATGTTGTACGAGTCACTTAGATTTTACAAATACGTGTGCTAAACTGTGAACGGCTCACGTATTAGTAAAATCTAAGTGACTCGTACAACATGGAATTCATATAAAACGGAATAATCAAGTGTTATAGGGGGGTCGTCTTGTATATAAGTAATTATAATCTCATTAAATTCTTTAATTCGTCTAAATCTTTTCATCAGAATTTTATAATTAAATTATCAAATTTGATACCTCAGTAAATTTATATAATTGTTTATTTATTTCATATTTTACAATTAATTTTAAGCTATAATTGGTATGTATGTATGTACTGTTCGTGGTTATTTTAAAAATATATATAAAATAGCATTTTGACATTTAGCATAAAATTACTTAAAAATACACTCGAAATTTTTTATAAATAATTACTTCACAATCGAATCTCATCATTGTTACGTAATAATTAAAAAATTTCGATCAATTTCGTATTAATTGATTTATTGGTTAATTTTAAATTTAAATTCGCCAATCACGTTTCAGCATTTAACAACTCAGAGAAATGAAAATTATAAAATTTACGTCTATAATTAATTATACAAATTTTAGAGATAATTTAACTATTTTAAAGCTTCTGTTCTTCATTTAATCAAAAAAATTTTAGCATTTTTTATGCCTATTTCATGAAGAAATCGGTAAAGTTTAATCAATAAGTTTATTTTTGGCTATAAGAAATCAAAAACCACACAAATTTTACAAAATTTAATGTATTTTAAGCAAGATAATTGCATATTTTTCGAGACTTTTCAAGGTTAAAAAATTCGATTTAAACTTTACATTAGCATTTAAATGAGTGTTAAATACTTATTATTTAGACAGAAAATACGCAAATAGATAAAATTTAATAAAGATTTTAATGATATTGTTAAAATTTACCTAATTTAAATGTCTAAATAGAAATTACTATACAATACACGCTGATTTCTAATACGTGCCCTTTTCTTTACGCGATTTGCATTGATTATCCATTGTTCTTGATTGTTTAAACAATGTTTTAAAGTTAACAATTATTGTTCCTGGCTTCTTACTTTATTCTAATTATCTCCGTTAAACAAATTTACATAATTAATTAATTTTTTAATTGATAAACACAAAAGAAATGTCAATTTTCATATTTTAAGAAGGTCGATTGTAAGAAATATAATATATATTTTTAATATGTTCTTTTACAGAAATTGTTCCTTACATAATTACTTTTTCTACATTTAAATTTTTATTTTTTAACGTTATTCAACTTGAATTTCTATTTTTTTTCTTGATTCTCTCACGTTTCATAAATTAATACAATCAAAAACAATTCATACTTCCATTAATCTCAGATACAATAAAAGATATAAACTTCGTATTAAGACAGAACATTTCTCGCTACTTTAACTACAAAAATATATTTTTTGAAAAGAAAAATGGTAAATTTTACGATATTTAACATTCATCTTCACAGCTTTTATCTTCACTTCTTGACTCAATTAATAAAGATATTTGATGGAAAATCTTGCCATGTATCTTTGGAATACAACACAATACAGTAGAGAGTCGTTTATCCGAATCAATTGGGAACTGGAATTGTTCAGATAACTTATTTTTCGGATAACCGATTGTGTACGAAAAAATATATTAACCTACCCCGTGTTGAAATTTTTCTCCATTGCGTGTCGCTTCTCGTTGAATTTTGGTCGATGTTAAGCCTAACGTAAACTTTCTAAAATAATAATCGTGGCTATTGTATTGTATTGTATTGTTAAAAATGATTTCTTTATGTTTTACAAACGAAATAAATACATTGAAAAATATAAAAACAAATAAAAATTATACTTGAGGCCGACTGGAATTCTTTCGGATAACCGACGTTTCGGATAACCGACTTTCGGATAAACGACGCTCTACTGTACTAGTGTTTACTAAGCCAGAATAGTAAATGTTAACTCCACCGATTTACATCAATAAAAACCCTTCAACCTCCTATTGACACAAAAGAAGTAGGAATTACATTCCTATTTAACAGTTATTTATCAGAGCAAAAGCTAATACTATATTATAAAATTGCAATACAGTATGTTACTTACAGTACTTTACTCGTCTCTATATAGGTCTGTATTGTAGTACACGCATATATCAGATGCATCTAGGCAAGTATCCAACACTGAAGTACCTCGCAAATTGTATTATTCGATATAAAAAAAACTTCAATGAAAGTAATATAAAGTATTTAGGGTAAGGCCATATTTTTAATTCGCCAGGATTCTCAATTCTCGCTGTTGTAACCTGATGTAGTGATGTAAACTTGTTATAAATCAACTTAGAAGACATCATGACACGAAAGCATAATATTGAACTAATAAAGCTCTAAAATATATTTACTATTTATTAACATCTTGTAATCTATTTTCAGTTAACTGCTATAATTGCTGGATGCTTCATCATCGCTTGGAGCCCCTATGCCATAGTTTGTTTGTGGCAATCTTATATTGATCACTCCTTATCTCGTATATATATCATTGTAGCTGCTTTATTCTGCAAGAGTGCCACAGCTTACAATCCTTTTATATACATGTTCATGTCGAAAAGTATACAGAAAGAAACGTCAAAGGTAAGTTTCTACCCCCACTTTCTCCACAATTTTCAAATAACTTTTTACCAGTTAAAGCAAATGAAAATATAAAAGCATATAGATGAAGTTTTTCAGTGAAAGTTACTTTTTTACAGATGTTTTATGGGTTTATCAAAACGTGCTACCACCACGAAAGTGCTGTCAATGCATCCAAAAGCAGCAGGAAATCATCATATGTTAGAACATCGCTTAAATCTTCTTGGATTTATTCAAAGTCATCACGATATTCTCAGCAAACCTCACACGTATAAAACTCTACTATAAAAAGCAATACTATTACTACTAACAAGGGTAACGATTACATCATAAAGTATCTTGTATACTGCATCACACAACAAATTATCATGAATCTAAATAAAATACGATTACGTAAAACTAAATATTGTAAATTTACTGAAAAAAAATATAAATTAGTTCATAAAATCTAATAATTATTATTTATATTTAAAAATATTTAATAATTATTTCATATGTTACGTTTCATCTGACTATCCACAAAAATTTTCTTAAGAATTTTTGGCCACGTCCTGAAGGATTTACGTAGAACTTTAGGAAAGTCTACATTCTCGGTGGATCCTCATGAGTATCAAATATTATTACTTATAATCGCATTTAATATATATTACAGAATATAATAACCAAGTTATGAAGCCATACATTACAAAGCTATAGAAATACTCTTTATTGTAGTCTATTCAATAGTTTGAAATAAAATAAATATTTTAAAGAAAATACACTAGAAATATTTTATATTAATATAAATCGTGTAATATTAGTTTAAGCAATAATTTTACAACACTGTTTACGACTTTAATATCGTAATTTTTTTCTTAATGAAATTTAAACATTGATTCTTTAAAATTACATGGCATGAATTAATCTTGTATTTTTCCTAAAACGTCGTATTTTCTTTCTTTAGTTCTACAAACTACTACCTTTTTTTCCTACAAGCACCTCATAAAACGTCCTCTTAGTTCTCCTCTGACCATACAAACTCCCTCTTTCTTTTTACAGAAACTATATAAATCGTCCTCTTATTCCTCCTCTAACCATACAAACTACTTGTTTTTCCTACCAGCATCTCATAAATTGTCCTCTTACCTTTCTCACCATACACAATACTTTCTTGTTTCTACAAAAACTGCATAAATCATCCTCTTAGTTCTCATCTAACCATACAAACTACCTCTTTGTTTCTACAAAAATTACCTAAATCGCCCTCTTAGTCCTCTAACAATACAAACTACTTTTTTCCCTACTAGCAGCTTATAAATCGCTCTCTTAGTCATGGGCGTAGCCAGGAAGGGGCACGGGTGGGCATGCCCCCCAGTTAACCCGGTGCCCTTTTCAGAAAATCACAGCCGAAAAAGTGTCGAGCCAATTTGCAAAGAGAAATAAAAACCTGAAGCTAATTTAATTGGGTGTACTGTACCCACTGAAACTCTAGATCAGGCATAGCCAACATACGGCCCGCTTAATGAAATTACGCGGCCCGCGATTAATCTCTGAATATTGGACTTAACTTCAAATGATTGCTCGAATGGAACCGCGATAATTCCTTATATCCCCACAATGTGAAGTTGTAGGAAAGTTGAGAAATTCTGACCTCAAATAAGAAAAAAAGGGTCAACGGCTTTCTGCGTCCAATGTGAAAAGCGTATCTGTAATCTCTATGTACAGTTCAGTCTCTCTGCGGGGTGACGCAACAATAAGAACTCGCTACACCCGAAAATCTTGCTAGGGCCGCCTCTGGTTCGGCCAGTGAAAAAAGTTTTCTTTCCAATTCGCCCCGGAGGAAAAAATGTTGGCCACCCCTGGTATATATCTAGATTAAAGACGGTGAACTATATTAAAGAATGCTTTAAAAAAAATAATTGATTGGTTAATTTTTGTTTAAGGCATTGCTAGAGTTTGATACAGTAGAACGTCGTTTATCCGAAAGTCGGTTATCCGAAATAATTCCAATCGGAAAATTTAAATTTTAGCTAGTGCTCTGGCACTGCAATCCTTGCCTATATCTTAGGCTACTTCAATATTGTTTTTTGTTGATGTGTGTGTTTTAGCTGGCAGCACTGGCACTTTTGTGTGGGTTTTTCTGACGACTGTGTGTGGTGCTTAATCGAACGTTTTTGATACTAGATCAACTTCTAAAGTACATATTTTTTGGTTTTTATATTTTTCAATACATTTATTTTGTTTGTACTAAATAAAAAAATAATTTTTAACGATACAATAGCCACGATTTACGTTAGGCTTAACATCGACGAAAATTCAACGCGAAGCGACACGTAACGGAGAAAAATTTCAACAACGAATAAGTTAATATATATTTTCGTACGTAATCGGTTATCCGAAAAACAAGTTATCCGAACAATCCCAGTCCCCAATTGATTCGGATAAACGACGCTCTACTGTATTAATGTTATGAGAACGTATGATTAAAGGAAGTTTTTTTATGCGTGTTAAGTTATTGTCGATTCTTATGGAAATTTCATTTTAATAAATTTTGTGTCACGTTGGCCTCTACTAGGCCCCCATAACAAAACTCTGGCTACGCCAATGCTCTTAGTCCTCCTCTAACCATACAAACTACTTTTTTTCCTACCAGCACCTCATAAATTGTCCTCTTACTCTTCTCACCATTCACATTACCTTGTTTTTTCTTTTAAAAAACCAAATTGTGAATTAGTTTGTTTTAATAAATACAGTATTAAATTGATGAAATACAAAATGCTATTTAAACAAATCAATAAGAAACTAATTGTTTTATTTGTTAACAGATGGCGCCACAAGTATCGCTATCGCCTTAAAGATATACAGTACATTGTAATTACTGCAGTGATGTCATAATTAACGTGATTAAACATTAGTCAAGCAATTATTATATACAAACAACAATTACAACTTTTTTGTTTTATAAACTGATATTCACGTGATTGTTACTTTATCGATTGTTATCAGTACTTGTTACACTACATTTTCCTAACCGGTTATCATTCTAAATTGAGCGATTATCTATTCAATTATTACATAATTAAAACGTTTATTATTATGTCGCGCAATTTTTTTTAGAATCTTAAACAGTAATTAATTTCCTTATTACGAAATCAAACAGTCGTGAGAAACATAATAAAATTATTAAACAGAAGCATTACTTAAATAAAAAAGTGACCTTGTGCAACATAATAAATAATTATACAATCCAGTCTATCATTATCAATTTCATATCAAACAACAATTATTTTCATTATTGTTAATTATAAAGCGATTCAAAAGTTTCTATACGTAAGCAAAAAGTTCAATACTTTCTCGGCTGTTATATATATAAAAAAAATATGGCGATCTGGCAAAAAATGACCCCCCAAAATTTTTACATTTTTGGATTTAGGACATTTTGAAACGTGGAGAAATGTAGAATTCCGGGGTTATTTTCTGTATGGATGTTAGTTTATGTGGTGGGGCACGATAAGGGTCCAGGGGTGGGAAAATAATAAGGGTCGTGTTTATGTCTAGTAGGGACGGACTCAATGACGATTTTACTCGTTATTACCATTTACAATTTTTATAAAACCCATCCCTACCCTCAAAATTAAGATTTTTGTCATATACGTACACACAAACATACGCACCATATACAACAGATACTGTATAACAGTCTCGGTAGCACGTTATCCTATAGGAAAAAGGGCAATTGTCTGGGGTTCAAACCAATATTTTATAAAATATCTTCTAGAAGAAAAACGTCTGAATTCAACACTGTATATGGGGTCTTTTAATTCATATTTGCTTGAGCCCCGTGAAGCTATAACGCTCCACTGATTAGTCTCAAAATACTACAGAAAGTAAAATGTAATTACAGTATAAATATAATTGTAAAATTTCATTAATTATTCTTATTTTAATTCTCAAAAGATCTAAAATTTTATTATTTCAAATAAAAATGTCAAGTTTTATTATCAAAACGAAATACTCGGCGAATATCGATATTAATTCCTTTCAGGCGCGTTGCTTCGCCTCGCATCATGGAAGAAAACACGATGCAGACATTTTACTCATTATTTTACTTTTACGTTTTTTCTTTTAACTTTAACTTAAAATAAAATAATTTTCAATTTATTCTATATTATTTATTTTCTTGTTTATAATTACGTACTTTATTCGTTTCATTCATTATACAGCATATAATTTATTCATTTTACTCTACCATTAAAATATTAATGAGTGTTTTATTATTTAATCTGTACTCTACTGCTTTATCGATTTATAAAGAATATATTACTTAAACATATATTTTTAAAAAATATATTGTATGACCCTCTTACTTTAATGTACTGTATTTCTCTATAGAGTTCTGTAACTAGCTGTTCGTGTGTCCAGTACAAAATTTTTATTTTTGGCCCATCTTTTCGAAAAAAAATAAGAAAGAAACCCGATAGAATTGTAAGGGTCATTGGTACTATTAAATTGATAATTAAGTGTCGAGAGATGAGGAGTTAATGTGTGGGGGGCACGATTTTGTTCACCCTGTTTGAAGCTTAATAACTCCCATGCTTTTTATCGAAAATTTCGGAAATTTTGCAGGGAAGTTTGTGTATTATGGGAATTGATGGTATTAAATTATGGTGATCAAAGGTCGTCGGAGTCAAGAAATAGAGGGGTCGTTTGCTTTGCCGGAAAATTAAGCAACTCGTTGCTGAAGTTTTCTGTTATAGAAACTGGGAGGAAATTATGTAAAGGGCTTCAAATGTGGTTTGACAGGGGTAACTTATACGGTAATTAGGATTTAATATGGTTTAAAGTTTCCTAAATGAGTCCCTGATGACGTAATTCTTATTTTGCTTAACCAGGCTAACGCTACTTTTATCTAATAAAATAGTTTTATATTGGCTATAACTTACAAATAATGTTTTAAATTAAAATTTTATAAACAATAACATTTGTATGAACGTTTTTATGTTATTACAAAGTTGTAATTCATTTTTATATTCCATTGTCTTATTTTTTCCGTTATAATAGATAAAAACTTAACATATTTTATTTCTAAAATTCTAATCTTGTAAAGTGTTGATTAACACTTTCCCCTCTCTTTTCTCTTCACCCCTTGATCTTCAGTCACCAAAATTTAATTAATCCCCTAATTAATCTCCCAGAAAGTTTCGACAAAAGGAACAGGAGCTATTAAGATTCAAAGAATGTATACAAAATTATGTTCCCCATACACACTAATACCCATACATACAGAAAACCTCAA